AGACACATCCCTCACCTTCTCCCTCTAGCCCACTCCAAGTTGCCAGTATCTCCTTGGAAGGAGCTTGTACGCACTTCTGGCACCCCAACTTTTGCAGCTACTACTGAAGGGACAGGCTCCTGGATTGCCTAGCTCTGACAGCCAATGGGGCTTGCATTCATGACTTCGACAGGGCTATAGCAAACAAGGAAGCAGTTTCTTAATAGGTACAAGAGCTCTCCCCACAGCTATACACCTGAGCCCAGGAAAAATGCCCAAATCCCAGTTTCTCTCTGGAAGGGGCTTAACTACCTACTTTCCCAGCTGTTGTTTGAGAGTCCAGCTTCCATCTGCTTGCAGCTAGCTGCTGACTGTGATCCTCCCCTTTGGAACACCTGAAAAGTCTTGGCACACACTCAAAAACTGGGAGCCAGTAGAAACAAAGAAGGCAGCTTGGACAATCACAAAGGTTTGAGAGACAACCAGGAGCTCAAGCTAATTGACAAGGTTCATCTCCCACATGATACCATTCTGTCAAGACTGGGAGTGGTGGTGGTTTTATCTAATGCACAGAAACCAACACAGAGAATAAAGAAAAATAAAGAAATGGAGAAATATGTTCCAAACAAAAGAACAAGATAAATCTACAGAAACAGATCTTACTGAAACAGAGATAAGTGATTTACCTGATGGAAATAATGGTCATAAGATGCTCATCAAGGTCAGGAGAGCAATGCATGAGCAAAGTGAGAATTTCAACAGAAATAGAAAATATTTTTAAAGTAACAAACAGAAATCACAGAGCTGAAGAATATGACTGAATTAACAATTTCAATAAAGGAGGTCACAACAGATTAGATCAAGCAGAAGAAAGGTTCAGCAAACCTGAAGACAGTGCAGTGGAATTCATCCATCAGAGAAACAAAAAGAAAAAATAATGAAAAAGAGTGACAACAGCTTAAGGAACTTATGGAAAACCCTCAAAAAGACCAATATATGCATTATAGAGGTACCAGAAGTATGAGACTGAAAAGGGGGCAGAAACTTACCCAAAGAAGTAATGGCTGAAAATGTTCCTAATCTGAAGAAAGAAATAGACATTCAGCTACAAAAACCTCAGAACGTACCAAAACAGATGAATCCAAAGAGACCCACACCGAGACACATTATAATTAACTTATCAAAAGTTAAAGACAAGGAGAGAAGCTTAAAAGCAGCAAGAGAAAAGCAACTTGTTTCATACAAGGGAACCCACGTAAGATTATCAGCAGATTTTTTTATCAGAAATTTTGCAAGCCAGAGAGAGTGGGATGATATATTCAAAGTGCTGTAAGAAAAAAACTACCAACTAAGAATACACTACCCAACCGATCCTTCTCAAACTCTTCCAAAAAAATAAAAGAGGAGGGAACACTTGCAAACTCATTTTACAAATCCAGTATTACCCTGATATCCAAGTCAGACAAGGACACTACAAGAAAAGAAAATTACAGGCCAATATCCCTGATGAACATAGAGGCAAAAATCCCCAACAAAATATTAGCAAAACAAATTAAACAGTTTAATTGAAAGGATCAAAAGCATCATACTCCATTATCAAGTGAGATTTATTCCAGGGATGCAAGGATAGTTCAACATCTGCAAATCAATCTGTGTGATACTCTACATTAACAAAATGAAAGATAAAAATCTTCTCAGGGGCTTCCCTGGTGGCACAGTGGTTGAGAATCTGCCTGCCAATGCAGGGGACACGGGTTTGAGCCCTGGTCTGGGAAGATCCCGCATGCCGCAGAACAACTGGGCCCGTGAGCCACAACTACTGAGCCTGCGCGTCTGGAGCCTGTGCTCCGCAACAGGAAAGGCCGTGACAGTGAGAGGCCCGCACACCGTGATGAAGAGTGGCCCCCGCTCGCCGCAACTAGAGAAAGCCCTCGCACAGAAACAAAGACCCAACACAGCCAAAAATAAATAAATTAATTAATTTTTAAAAATCTTCTCAATAGAAGCAGAAAAAGCGTTTGACAACCCAAAATCCTTTCATGATAAAAACTCAAAACAAACTGGTTATAGATGGAATGTACTTCAATGTAATAAAGGCTATATATGACAAGTCCACAGCTAACATGGTTCTCAGTGGTGAAAAGCCAAAAATTTTCCCTCTAAGATCAGGAACAAGACAAGGATGCCCACTCTCATCACTTTTATTCAACATAGTACTGGAAATCCTAGTCAGAGCAATTAATCAAGAAAAAGAAATAGTCATCCAAAACAGAAAGAAAGAAGTAAAACTGTCTAGACAATTTGTAGATGATATGATATTATATCAAAAACACTCATCTAATTCCACCAAAAACTGTTAGAAGTAATAAATGAATTCAGTATAGTCTCAGGATATTAAATCAATATACAAAAATATTTTGTTGGAGAATATCAAAGCCAAATTCTTGCTCAAATTTCAATAAAACTACAATGAAAAAAATCAGTTGCATTTCTATACACTAACAATGAACTATCAGAAAGAGAAACTTAAAAAACAATTCCATTTAAAATAGCAGCAAAAAGAATAAAATACTTAGAAATTAATTTATACAAAGAGGTGAAAGATCTATACACTGAAAACTATAAGACACTGATGAAAGAAATAAAAGACATAAATAAATGAAAAGATATTCTCTGCTCATAGATTGGAAGGATTAATATTAATATTGTTAAAATGTCCACACTACCCAAAGCAATCTACAGTTTTAATGTACTCCCTCTCAAAATCCCCGTGGCATTTTTAAAGAACTTTTTTAAAATCCCAAAATTTGTGTGAAACCACAAATGACCCTGAATATCCAAAGCAATCTTGAGAAATAAAAACAAAGCTGGAGGCATCATACTTCCTGATTTCAAACTACATTAAAAAACTATAGTAATCCAGGCAGTACTGTATTGGCATAAAAGCAGACACATCGATCAAAGGAACAGAACAGAGAGTCCAGAAATAAACCCATACACATAGAGTCAATTAATTTTTTACAAAGGAGCCAAGAATACACAATAGGGAAGGACAGCCTCTGCAATAAATCGTGTCAGGAAAACTACATTTCCACAAGCAAAAGAATGAAACTGGATCCTATCTTACACCATACACAAAAATCAACTCAAAATGGATTAAAAACTTGAACATAAGACCTGAAACCATAAAACTTCTAGAAGGAAAAGACAGTCGGTAAGCTCTTTGACATTGGCCTTAGCAATGATTTTTTAGATTTGACACCAAAAGCAAAGACAACAAGAGCAAAAACAAACAAATGAGACTACATCAAATCAAAAAGCTTCTGCTCAGCAAAAGAAACCATCGACAAAATTGAAAGGCAACTTATGGAATGGGAGGAAATATTTGCAAACCACATATCTGATAAGGGCTTATATTCAAAATATATAAGGAACTCATACAATTCCATAGCCCAAAACAAATAAACAAACAAGTAAAAATAACTCACTTAAAAAAGGAGACCCAATTAGCCATTTTTCCAAAGAAGACATCCAACTGGGCAAGAGGTACATGAAAGGTGCTCAACATCACCAATCATCCTAAATCAAAATGAGTTATCACATTATACCTGTTAGGATGGCTACTGTGAAAAGGACAAGAGATAGAAAATGCTTGCCAGGATGTGGAGAAAAGGGAACTCTTCCACACTGTTGCTGGCAAGGTAAACTGGTACAACCACTATGGAAAACAGTATGGAAGGTCCTCAAACAATTAAAAAGAGAACTACCATTATCCCAAAGAGACGTCTGCACTCCCATATTCATTGCAGCATTATTCACAACAGCCAAGACATGGAAACAACCTAACCACACACACACACACACACACACACACACACACACACACACACACAATGGAATATTATTTAGCTTTAAAAAAAAAAAGGAAATCCTGTCATTTGGATGAAACTGGAGGGCATTAGGCAAAATGAAATAATTAAGACAGAGAAAGACAAATATTATATGGTATTACTTATACACAGAATCTACCAAAAGGAAAAAAATCAAATTCATAGGAACAGAAAGTAGTGGTAGCCAGGGGGCTAGAGGTTAGGGGAAATATGGAGAGGTTGATAAAAAGGTACGAATCGTCAGTCATAAGATGAACAAGGTCTGAGGATCTAAAGTATAACATGCTGACTATAGTTTATAACACTGTATTGTGTTATTGTATAACTGAAAGTTGCTATAGGAGTAGAAATTAAAAGTTCTCACCAAAAAAGAGAGGAGGGGAGATGAAATATGTGAGGTGATGGATGTGTTAATTAACTCAATAGAGGGAATTCTTTCACAACATATACATATATCAAATGACATTGTACACTTCAAACATCTTACAATTTTATTTGTCAATAATACCTCTGTAAAGATGAAAAAAAGTTTGCAATTTACATGACTTTATGACAAGGATTAAGAAATATACTCCAGAACTAGAATTCAATGTGCTTTTAAAATAAGTATATTCCTGGTATTATTAGGAAACTGTGTAGGTGGTATCTTGGCTTACTGCTTTTCACTGTTCATTGCATTCTCAGTATATTAAACATAATATCTACAAAGAAGAGAGAGAGAGAGATTGGAAAGGGAGAGATTTCCCAAGTTCATATTTTGAATCTTATGCAAAAATACCTAGTTCTTCAACCTTTTACACAAGCTGACAGTTTCACCTCTGGAGAAAGATGACAAAAACTGCAAGAATCTACCATCCTCATTTCACCTCCTACCTGTCATTACTTTTGATAAATCCCTACACAGAACAAAGTCATTAACCCCAACAAAGTGAACAGGAAAGCTAAACTGGAAATATGTGTAATCACAGTGATAGTTGGAGACATCTAGATCACTAATTTTCTATAATTATATGGACTAGGTAAAATGACTGACTTTTCTTCCTCCTTTCTTCAAGACCCCAACATCCTCACTTAACTCTGGTACCAAAATTCTTTGATCAAGTAAATCATTTCAGGAGACAGTGGGTTCACCTTCGTACACGTTCCACTCTGTCATCTGTCCGAAGATACTTCTTGGCATTCTCTCCTTTGCCAAAGCCTGCGCAGTCTTCTGGGTTGGCAAAAACCTATTCCAAATAACGAGGAAAAAACCTATTTCAAATGCCAAGTAGCATGGGGCTAACTCTATCTGATAAGTTATTTACATTTTAACGGAAGGAAATACAGGCATCCAAGTTGACCATTATGAAAAAAAAATCGGAGCAATAGATCAAACCCAGGGGTGGCAGAAAGCATCTCTTCTTAAAAATCTGAATTTTTATTAACAGTGTAAAACAAAATTTTAAGAGAAGCATAAATAATGTAAATAAAAACCAATGTATAAAAATAGCAAAAAGGAAGCAAAAATGGAAAAAAAGAATAATTCTAAGTCCTCATTGACTATTACGGTGAACTGGCATTTTTTTACAGTAATGTTAATGCACTTGCCCTCAAGAGTATTAATATTTCTAACTGGTTGGCTCATATGAAAGTCATAAGTTTACTTGCCAAGGATATCAGAGAACAGGCATGCAGCATAAAAGAGTGAGGGGCAGGAAAAGTATTTTGTACTTTGTTAGGATACGTGTGCCTCTTTTCTTTTTCTGAATTAACCAGAAGCTCGTGTTGAACAATACAGTGAAATATAAGAAGTTGAATCGCATTCCTATAAACACCAAGTACATGTTCTAGGGCATATTTCGTGTATTCCTTCCTGCCATTATTATGATGTTTGAAATGATTTCCCCATTCCCTGAAACTTGAAACATGCATTTAAAAATATTTAAGTATGTCCCAGTATTTAATAATATATAATAAAGAAAAGCACGAACTCTAAAATTAGCCTTAATTTAAGCTGAGGAACCTCATAAATATTATAATATTTTTCTTAATATGACATGAGCATTTATTTCAGGTAAAGATGTTGAGGAGAACTGATGGGCATCAGTGTGATACAGTATCAGCCCTTGAGGTCAGATCTGTCTGTATTGTTCTTAAATAATTGCCTGGCACACAGTCAATGTTCAATAAATATATTTTGAATAAGTAAATAAAGGTATTACAACGTAAAGTGCATGAGATTTTCATTTAAACCAATCTGAATTTGAATCTCGGCCTCACCCTTTATTGGTGTGTAACCTTGGGAAAGCTACTTAATCTCTGACTTGTATTTCCTCATCTATAAAATGGGAACAGTAATGCTCATCTCACATGATAATGCTAACAATTATGTAAAATGCTTCCATGATCTGACACACACAAAGAGTGTCATGGCTCCTAACATATATCACCGGCACTCCACAAACTGGAATTCCCTTCTCCTTTTAAGACAAGCAACATTTCTGCTATCCTTGGTGCCATGACATTTCTAGAGGACAGTGTGGATCTGGTGGTAGCAGTCTCTTTATAGCCTGCTGCTCTAACACCTTGCCCCATTAGAGAGTTAAACATGTGGGTATGTGCCCCCATTAAAATGCAAATATCCCTGGGAAGAACTGACACCTCAAGACAGTAATGAGGAAATACCTTAGGAAGGACCGTGACTTCTAGATAAAAGCAAGGCTCTGGAGGACAAAAACTCAGGACAGGGACTAAAAGAGAAACGATGGTTTCCAGAAAGAAGCTGCTGAATAGGCACAGGGACCACACCAATGAAGAGCATTTAACTTTGTCAATGTAGCTTTGCTTTACCCCCATCACTGTTGTCATAAACCCTGCCTGAATATAGGTTATGTGTTTCAAAAACTTTCTACCACCTTCCCCAAGTCTCCAGTTTTTAAAAAAATCATTCTTATCATGATGGGTAGAAATATTATCCACTTAAGAATTCATAACCACACAAAATTCAAATGCCTTATCCCAATCATAAGAGGTTCTGCTGATAATAAGAACTTTAATTCTATCCCCAAAGGCATATCCTTGACCTGTAACAGAGCTGAAAACACCAGTTCACCGTCTAGAAAATGACTATTTTCTAAACTCTAGTAGGCAAAATTAACTTCAAAATCACAAAAAGTTTCCTTGAAAACTTTCATACTCCAGAAATCTCATATGCTAAGTGGCATGACAAAAGGTAAAAGCTACAATGAAAAAACGATTTACTAGTTTCTAGGAAAAAGCACCCATTCCATAAATATATCAGAACCACCTGTACCAAATGACTGCATATTTCATTTGCAGTATTACAATATGCCACTGGGCTTTACAAAAAATAATTTAAGAAAATTGCTTTCCAGAATCTCAACTCTTAGAAGAAAATATTGCCTCCAATGTCTTACCTTTCTTGTCAATCTATAGAATGCAGTTGCAGTACTCATAAACATCATTTTTGAAAGAACAATCGTTGTGTAGGAGGCAAAGGCCATGAATACTTCATTCTCCATTAGCTGCGTGAGGTCGACCATTGTTTCAATTCTGGTCTGGAATCTTAAAAAAATTTTAGACAAGATAGGAAGAAGCAGACAGAAATACCCCAAATAACTTGACGGTCACTTGATGTTCTTATACTGCAGCATTAACCACACTGTTCTTAAAGATATCTTGGGTAGGGCTTCCCTGGTGGCGCGGCGGCTGAGAGTCCATCTGCCCATGCAGGGGACACGGGTTCGTGCCCCAGTCTGGGAAGACCCCACATGCCGCGGAGCGGCTGGGCCCGTGAACCATGGCCGCTGAGCCTGCGCGTCCGGAGCCTGTGCTCCGCAATGTTGGGTTATTTGAAGAAGAAATAATCAGTTAGGTTTAATGCCAAAATGAATACTATTATGGTTTTTTCTAGTTCTATATCATTAAGCTTGAAGACATCAAACAAGTACTGAGTGAAAATGAAAATGCAGGGGGTATTACAAGCAAAAATAAACAGGTGAACTGCTCTAAAGATACAAATAAAATCATATTTTTACATCAAGATGAGCCACAAGTTGGACACACACAAGAACAGAATCCATGGATCTCTTCAGAAACATCAAACTAGGTACACAGTATTTAGTATCATTAATGTTTGATTAGAAATGCTTAAGTTCTAACATATGTCCTCCTTTACAAACCCAACTTAACAGGCTTTTGTCCTTTCAGTCGTATCCAAGATCTCAGATGCCAGGATTCTAATTCCAGTCACACCATTTTGCTATTAACCTTGGTTGAGAGACTTAGCCTCTGTGAAACTGAATTTCTTCATTTATAAGATAGGAATAGTAATACCTCCTAACTTAGTGGGTTGTTGTCAGGATTTAATTGAGATAACATGTGGAACATACCTAGCACAGTGCCTGGCCCATGAAAACCCTCTATAAAGTTTATGATCTCCTGATCACAATCATTGCTGTCATCAAGACCACGGTCATCATTCACATCAACGCACATGAAGAGGGTGAAGCAGGATAATGGAAACATAAAATAACAGGCTTGCAAATGCAAGGTGAAAAATTGGCATTTATGATGCTTTTGTAGAAAGCACAAGGGGAGGAGGATTAACTTTACGTAAGTCTTCAGGTCACTTCCCATTCCATATTTACTTCCACCTAAAAGCAGTCAGGAGTAAACTGAAGGTAACTCCCTGAGTCTGGTGTCGGAAGTATAACTGGGAAAGTGCTCAGGAAGGAGACAGAGGCACACACGGGTGACACTGAAGTCCAACTGGGTAGAAACTTAGGGTAAAGCTGAAATTCCGCACTATCTGAGAGTCATTCTTTTTAACCTCCTCTGTTCTATTATCAGCCCCACTACCTACATCTTCTATGTCTTCTACATACACAAATATCTTTTCTCATACCCAAGCTTAAACTCTATTTTACAGGCTTAGCATGGAGTGTTGTCTCTTGAAGACGTATCTGTTCCTGCCTTTAAAACTCAACCCCTGCACGCATTCTGATCAGTCTATCCATCTACCAATAATCTGTAAACCTATATATCTTTCTATACTCTGCTACTAGTCATGTAGTTGTCTGTATGTTACTGTTGAATGGGACATAAATCACATATATAATACATATATATTTAATTTTATAAGACTTGGCTACACATCCAATTATACCATGTACTTCATGTGCATTACCTTACATAATTTTCATAACCATAAAATTATAATTCTCATAAGTATATCTATTCTACAGATGAATGAAATGGAGATTTGAGATACTTAGCAGCCATGCTGGGACACAAACCCAGGTCTCTGACCTCACGTCTTGTATACCAACCACACTGCACTGTCTCCTTCAAGAGACTGCTAGCTGCTTAATTCTGACTCATCTAACACTGACTGAGTGCCTACCCTGCAGCTGGCAGTGCTGGCACCCCTTCTATCTGTTATCTTCCTTCCTTTTCCAATTATGCTACAAGTTAAGTATTACTCCCATTTTGCAAATAAAAAACCCAAAGCTTCTTAAGCAACCCCTATTTTAAAAGGTAGGCTAAAAATATACTCCTTGGATTCAGACAAATAGAAATGTACAGTTGACCCCTGAAGAACACGGGTTTGTACTGTGTGGGTCCATTTATATTTGGATTTTTTCAATACTAAATACCAGCATGCTAAACAATTAGCAGCTGGTTGAATCTGCAGATGCAGAACCATGGATACAGAGGAAATGAGTATAAGAGGGGGGCGACTGTAAGTCATACGTGGATTTTTGACTGCGTGGAAGGCTGGCCCCCCTAACCCCCTGCATTGTTCAAGGGTCAACCATATTTAGTTTAAATACACACACACACACACACACACACACACACACAAATAGCAAATTAACCCACCTCCAACAGTCAGTAGTCTTAAAAGCAAGTATGTTAGATAGATTCTGCCAACTAAAAATATCACTCACCACCTGATTCTACAAGCAGGAAATAACTAGCCAATGCCGTCGCTGACCTTTAACACACCCTGAAAGGAGTTCAGGGCAGGTCAGGAATGAGGCACTGTGTGCTCTGGGGAAAAGTGGCAGAAGAGGCCTTCAGAGAGTTAGATATTTTCAGGAGAAATTTTTATGAGCCCAATTTTTTGTACCTTCTCATACCTAGAAAAGCACTAACATCATTAGTGGAGACATCTGTTCCTCATAACCAGCAGCAAACTTCTACTAAGATGTGTGTTTGACTGCACATACCCTCTTCACCAGAATCATATATATACTGATAGCCACACCTCTTCAGAGCAGTTCCTCGAGAGCTACAGTCCTCAGAAAGCCCCAACTAAAGCTGAACTCCCAGCTCTCACTTTATGTGTTTTTTTCAGTTGACGTTTCTCAGTGCAAAATAATACTTTTAGCAACATTTAATGTATCTGCTCTCGTTCTAGTAATGGCAGGGCGCGGGGGAGTCATGAATGAACTGCACTCTCCCTCAGCATGCAGGTAGACTAGTTAGCTTAATAAGGAATCCCTAAGTCCTATGCCTCTGGACAGAGAGATGAAGAAACACAGCAGAGGTGTTAATTTTTTAAAAATTTAAGAAAAGTTTATCAAGTAGGAAATGCTGCTATTCAACCATAATTTTAAAAGTCAAACAGTTTCTGTACGTCCCCACCAATGTTCTCAGAATGAAGTGTATTTAGCAACCAGAGGATGGTTTTATCTCAGTGAAAATAGGTATAGAAAGAATAGAGAAAAAGTAGAAGACTTCCAGACCTGTGGGTGGGAAAACAACACAAAGACATGAGCAGTTGGAGGCAAAGGTCAATGGGAGGCTTTTTCTCTAAATGTGAACAACACACAAAGTGTCCTTTACACAGAGAGTTTCTCAATGTGCCTTAGCTCAAGTCTGTGGCTTTGGGAGCAGGCCACTACTGAGCTTCTGGTATCACACACTATGGGTCCACAAATCGCCTCTCAGGATCAACATGGTCCACTCCCAGCACATCTGAGGGTGGGGTAAGGAGAGTTAAAGATAAGGCATTAAGAAATAGGAGTCATTTATAGCACAAAATTAGGTGGTGCTGATCTAGACTTTCTTTTTTGAAGCTAATTTGTCAGTAAGTTGCCTTGAACCTGCATCATGCCTGGGCACTGCCCTCTAAAAATAGTGGAAACTTTGTACATGAAAAGTCACCAGGAGGGAGTAGAGCAGTATAGTAGTAATAACACTTCAGAGGGTAAGGTGTTCAGTGATTTGCGTAGTCTAGGAGCGCAGTAGAAATAATCTAAGTAAGCAGAGCAAAGCATGAAACTTGGTGATGAGTTATAGAAAATAAATGATTCCAACGATGTATTCTATTTGGACAGTGTATTGTTCCTTTTATTGTCCAGCATTGGTTGGCACAGTGGAGAATATCTCTACCTATATCGCCAGAGAGGGGGGCTCAGTCCCCTAATGTGGAGGTGATGCCTTTACAAAGGACAAAGAGCTGTGTGTCGAGCTCACACAGACTGTGCAACTAGACTGTGGTCCAGGTGGATGCAACTCTGCCACTTACCCACTGCGATTAATTTACCTTACCTGTAAAAATGAGGTTAATAATACTTCCTGCCTCACAGGACTCTGGTGAGCATTAAGTGAATAAAGTATAAAGTGCTTAGAAAGGCAGTGGGACCCAGTAAGTGCTATACAAGTATTTGGTAAATAAATAAGTGCTGTTCTAGGCACTGAGGATACAATTTTAGAGTTTTCAAAAGCCATCACATTATCTCACTTGAGAATTTGGAGAACTCTAAGGTACTCAGAGCAAATATTTGTCTCTACTTTTAACATATAAGGAAACTGAGGCCCAGAGAGGTAGAATGAGTAATTGACCCAAATTCACAGTGGAGGGCCCAAGACTGGAACCCAGTTTTCTCAAGTGTTGAACGTGTGGGCTATCTACCATCAAGGTTAAACATTCTAGACTTCCCTGGCCTTCTGGGGGCCTCCTTCTGTCAAATCCCCTTCCTGTCTTGTCCCCTGCACCCCACAGCATTCCACCCCTGCTCCCTTAGTATCTATCACAGATACTACCAACTGAGAAATATTCCTCTTCTCTTTAAAGGCTGTTAGCCAAAAAGAGCAAAGTTCTCTTATCTATAGCAGCCTTTCTACATCAATATTGTGCAACACACAGTATGTGAGCACGCATTCCCATGGCCATGACTCTGCAATTTTAGACTTTTTAAAGGAACAGAACAGTACCCATGAGACAAAGAAAAAAGATAATTCAGTGGTCTCATTGCTGTTTACGAGTTCTAGAATTTACTGAATAGACTGAGGTGACTGCAGACAAGGCCTCCAAGTTTCAGGGCCCAGGTGTTGGGAAGAAAATGCTTCTGGCCCTGGAGGGGGGGTGGGGGGGAGGTGGGGGGAGGCCGTTACCAGGGGCCTATGCTGACCTTTTCTGGACTCAGCGTTTAAGAAACTCCACTCTCAAACAAACCCTAAGAAAAACTGTCCTTGTCTGCCACAGAGAGTAGTATTCAAATTTGGACCGATTTGCCATTTTTCAAGATGAACAAAGACGGTCAACA